GAGGGTTGTCATGGTTGTTTGGGTATCTATTCAGATTTCTTTAGCTGGGTTTGAAGAATTTTGTTTATTGTGTTTCTATCTTGTCTTTTTTTCCTGCTGAATGCACCATTTGTTGTTGTTTACAATGAATGCGTGCAGCAGTGCAAAGGTAACGAGGTGAGACCAGTTCAAATGAATCAATTGGCTGGCTGTTCCGCCACTTAAACTTTGTCAGGAGCCTCTGGAGGCAGCGTAGTAGTTTCAATACGATTCTCCAGCTAAACACAGCTCCCAATAGCGATCAATGGCAGTAATGAAAAACATGTGTGTCAGAAAACTTGCAACTTGATTTTCTTACCTATTTGTGTAGCCTCGCTATTCATTGAACTCTCTGGGAATCATGGGTAATCCTCCACTCTGCGCCATGTTGCATTCTAGTCCTTGCCAACAACATTTGGCCATGTTGGTGCTCTGCTTGGATAAGAAAGTGTTAAGTAATGAAGAGCAGTACTTGTGGAGGCACGCTGACACTGTTGGTTGCACTACGGTAAATGTGGGCATGTGCATTTTTCAAAGCGTACCGGGGTCAGGTCAGGATTTATTGACCTCTGCTGCTTTGATTCCTGTGCGTATCCCAAATTCATTTTGAATCCTTTAACGTTTTGGCATAGCAAGTATGGCTTAATATGTCGAGCAGCCAATTTGAAGTTGAATTATAGGATACAATGCCACAGCTCGGTGGGCTTCCTGTTCCAGTAAAACCTTCTCGTTTAAGTGTTCCCCTTATTTTAAAGTACCTGCGTAGCTTTTCTCTGGTGTCTCTCTGCCTATTCATAACCCTGCTGCGTATCGCCTCACAGTCCCGCCGGCCTCTGTGTCTCAGTTCAATTCAATGAGTATCGCCACGGTTTGTGTCTCAATGAGTGCATTCTGGTGTGAGTGTGTGTGTGTGTGTGAGAGAGAGCGTGTAATGTGTGTGTACGTCTGACTGAGACATGGAAGACAGGCAGAGAGATGGCGACAGATATGAAAGGCACAAACGACAGAGGAGAGCTATTTAATGGCGACTCGGCCTTTTATCCAGCTTCATCCTCCCTGGATTGGCTGTTTATACGCCCCGATGGACGTCTCGCCAGATGTGCGTTTGTGTGTCGTTCACATGATTGGCAGACGGTCTGATCACAATTAAAGGACATTGATAAGCTTTGAGACGCCCACTGTTCTGCCGACAGAAGTGGAATGCAAGGAGTCGCTCCTGATAACCATTGTATACATAGAGACACAAAGACTGAGAGGCACGCGCACACACACACACACACACACACACACACACACACACACACACACCATTGCGCTGTGTTTATCTCAATCCGTCGATGTGGGGTGTCTGAGTACATCTCCTCTTCCTCCCCAGCAGCTGGGTTTCATGCTGCTCACTTCCGTAGTCTCCTTTTTTTTCATTTCTACTGGCTAAGACCCATTTACCTCAATTACTGCAAAGTGAGAGGCTGAGACGCAGAAAAGAGAGAGCGGAGAGTGAGACTGTGAGCTCGCAGACAAACACAATGTGGAACAGATGAAGAGGAGAGACATGCAGAGAGGGAGAGAGAGAATTCCCACTTTGCCTGTCTGGTTTCATAACTGCTTCCAGTTATGGAGATGTGTCCCTGTTTTGTTTTTGTTTGTGCGTGTTTGACTGTGTGCTAATGTATGCAAATGCATCTCTGTGTAATTGCATGAATGGATGCAAATTGCACTTGGTTCCATATGCCGTAGTACAAGTGGGGAACATTGGCTCCAGTAGACAGATGGACATTTTTTTAAACATTCATCCATGAAAAAGCGAGTTATGAAAAGTCTATCCAATTCATCATTATTTCATGTGACGCACCTATCTATGTGTGTCAAAATGATGTTAATAAATCATAAGCGGCCCATACCGTTGAGTGCCATGTGATTGATGAATCTGTAGATGGAGACAAACTGCCTGGTTTAATGCAATAAAACCGTGCTGCTTCTTCTAAAAAAATAAAGTTAAGTTAAAAGAAATAGTCGGCCAATCACCGACCATGTGCAGTTTACATGAAGAATTTGCCAGGGGATCAGTGTCATTTGAGATAGTCATGTTTCCCACACACTCCCCACAGGGGGGGAGGGATTAGAGGACGCAAGAAGAGACACACTGTGCTTGGATGTGAAAAACCCCCACAAACACACATTTGCTGATGTTATACTATATTCCTCTTACTGCCTGCGATTCTCAGAGTGACAGAAGACAGTTTTCACTTATTCAAACTGTCATGTGACTAGGAGGATGACAGCGAGTCTTATTCCTGTGCTCCAACAATAACCTTCACTGCAGGGATGGAGGCCGGGAGATCAGTACCAGCATTGCGTTGGTCCTATTTAGGACAGCGGTTTGAAAGAAGTGAGCGTTCGGCCTGACTTTGCAATTTGCATCATCTCTTTGCAGCTGTGATGAAACATTCAGCGTGGCGTCCTTGTGCTCCGGGGCTCAGCCGAGGCACTTGCAATATCATACATCCAGTTTGGGCTCACATCCCTTCCACAGATCTTTCCTCTCCATCTGGAGCACGCTTTTTTTTTTAACACACGTTTTGATCTAAATAACACGGCAATGTGAAAACATTTCCCCTGAGAGACCGCAGAGTTGTGTGATTATTTCTGCCTAACCAGGTACCTTACCTGCATTTGCATGCCTGCAGAAAAGCTTTGAATGCAAGTGTGCGTTGTGCTGCACGAGTAGTCCCCTGCTAGGGATGATTCAGTGGAGCAGAGATGTGATGTGGCTTCAGACGGGCTGCACTCTGCAACAATAGCACAATCCAATAGTCTACTCTGCCAAATGATACAAGCTGCGTCATTCATTTGGCTAAATGCTCCACGGCCCGACTGATGCCTCATCAAAACACATATACGTGAAGGCTTTATTTACCTTACTGGTGGATTATTGCAGGACTGTTTTGCTTTCATAAAGTTAAATGCTTCAAATAAGTTAAAAGTATGGTTTGATGTCTATTTTTGTGTGGGGAAAAATGTATTTGCGCTGATAAGATTCCAAATTAGTAGGAAAGAGGTTGAAAGTTGAAAACAGTAGCTTGGTTAAACAATCTCACCCAAAGCTCCAATAATATGAGCTGTTCTGGAACTGTTATCACATGATCTCTACCTCAGCAGAAAGACCTTCAGCAGCTTTAAGCAGCCTGACCTCTCTTTGTCCATGCAGGCCCACAAGATTAGATTGAAAACCCGCACTGTCCCCAAAGTGGACATTATATGCACGGATTCAAAAAGTTCATCCTAAAAGATTAAGTGATTCAAACTCATATGAATATTTATTGCTTAATCAAACATCCAAATTGTTGGAAGATCCATTTCAGTAGGATCGACCAACGGTTAACAGTCGAGGTAATCATTTTTGCACCAATCACATTCTTTACACAGTTAATCATATTAGATCTATTAAAGAAAATAAAATTGCACAAATAATACAATTTTTTATAAAAACCTTCATATCCAACGTTGCTCGCACTCCGGGGAGCCGCAATTAAGAGCTGCTGATTAGCGTTTCGCCCTTCAGCCCGGGTCGGGAAGGAGGGAGGCCCGCCGAGGTCACCGCCGCGTGCGAGTAACAGTGGGCCGCTGGGACGCGTGTTTACATCTCTGGTTACTATCGCGCGTTTACACAAAGCGCGGGCACAGAAGGGAGGGAAGCAGATAGTTATTGAGCTGGGAAATCTCCACACCGACAGACAGCGGATGAGCTCGCCGAGGATCATTCTGACGGGAAATCAGTTGAGCTGCATTAAACAAATCCCTCTCCGCCCGTGTTCCTCTGCTCGCTGCTTTGCCTTCTCCTGCCCTCCTTTCAGAGCTCTTTTTTAACGGTGCAGAGGACAACGCTTTCCTGACATAATATGCTTCAACACACACACACACACACACACAGCTAGATGCTGTTCCTTTATTCAAGGTGACCTCTGTGACTTGCAATTAGGAAGAAATAATGAAATTGCTGCGTCAGTATCTGCCATAGCCCCCCCCCACTCATATTCTCTCGGTAATTTGTCTTCATTTCATGACGGTCTTCCTCTCTATTCTGGCTCCTTGTCTCCTTCCCTCTGCAGTGTTCTCCCTGGGTTGCTGCTCAGAAGGTCTGGTCCTCATCTCTGGCAGTGAAGAGTGAAGAGCACCATGACCCAGGAGGGGCAAGCTCTGCCCTCTCCCACCCCACCAGAGACCCCAGTGGAGCCCGACGCCCCCACCAGCAGCACCACGGACCCCTCGGCAGGGACACACAGCCAGGTGGAGCAGGACAAGCCGGGGGCGGAGGACACCATAGAGGAAGGGAAACAAGAAGAGGAGATCAGAGAGGGAGAGGACGAGGCACAGCGGGAGACGCAGAGGGAAGGAGAGGGGAGGGAGGAGGTAAAGGACGAGGGAGGAGAGGGTGAGTTGAAAGAGGAGAAGGTAGATGGGGATCCACGGGCAGATGGAGGGGCGGAGAGGACGAGTGGGGGAGTGCGCATGAATGTGGAGGTGAGCTCGGCGGGGGAGGAGGGGAGAGAAGAGGAAGAGGAGCGGAAGGAAAGTGAAGAGCGTCAGCGGCCCACCGAAGAGGAGGAGACTCAAGCTGGCCGGTTAGTGCACTAAGTCATCCTCTTATCGCTGTCAGGGTGCGATGATCTTTTGACCTTTAGGTGTCAGAGTATAACAGTATAACGTTAAAGAATAATCAAAGGTATAGATCTGGTCAATCATTCATGCACACACACACAGACACACACACACACACTAAGCGCTCCTTTTTGTAACTTTCCTTGGTCTGGTTATGTTTCACATATCATAATAGTGTGTCACTTTGCCATGTCGAATGCTCTTAATGGTACGTTTTTCATTTTACAAAACCAGACAACAGACAAAAAAACTAAATGAACTGAAGGGGAAATAAACTGTTGAGGCGCCGGAGGAGCCAGTAAACCAATTTCAAACCGGCAAAGATAGGCAGTGAAGGGCGCTCAGGGACACATGTCAATTAATTAGCACTGTGCTTTGTGAGAAATCTCTAGATAAAATACAAAATGGTTTTATTAAATGTATAGACATGCATTGGTGCACTGATACAAAAATACAGCGGTCATATATCAAGCTTGTTCCCTTCTTGATTAATCCAATTGTATGAGTGATTTCTCTCCATCAGCAGCAGACACAGAGCACCAGAATAGATTCATATTCACACAAATAAGAGGGAGGAAATAGAGGAGGTGGGACAGACATGGGGGAGTGAGCTATTCACCCACTGGACAATTGGACGGCATGCTTTTTCATCTTTCATCTTGCTTCAATTGTCACTGTGGCCATTCAAGCTGAAATGTCTCCCCATTGTGCAAACTGCCTTGGGTTTGAGTTTGAGACACTGTGCTTTCCTTTTCTTTCTCCACCTTGAAACAGACGAATGGCAAATGGCATAGGTGGCAACCAAGAGGAGGACGAGGCGGAGGACGAGGACGAGGGAGGAGATGAGGGGGCGAATCAAGCACTCTTGGACACTTTCAGCTCCAACTTTGAGACGACTGTAGAACAGGCCGACGCAGAAGTGGAGGAAGAAGAAGAAGAGGTGCCGAAGGAGGGAGACGGGAGAGAGAACCAGGACAGTTTCAGCTCGACCTTTGAGCAGATCGTTGAGCAGGCCGACGTCCAGGCGGAGGAAGAGGAGGAGGAGGAGGAGGAGAAGTGCAGGGTGGACAACAAAGACGGCTTCAGCTCCACGTTCGAGCGCATCGTGGAATCGGCACTGCTGAGGGGCGGGACCTGCTACAGCAGCCTGGACTCTCTGGACGTGCTGTCGCTCACGGACGAGACGGACAGCTGCGTGAGCTTCGAGGCGCCACTGACGCCGCTCATCCAGCAGAGGGCGCTGTTCCAGGGCCCCGAACCCCTGGAGCTGGAGCTGGCGACCGTTCAGGAGCTGGAAGGGGCCGAGGCCGGACCGGACTCCCCGGGTGACCCCACAGGCGGAGAGAGCGACGTCCGTGAAGCCGCAGCTGTGGCCGGAGTGGGCGGAAGCCCGCTGAGGACGACCATACCAGGAAGCAGGTCGGAGTTTGTGCTGAGCCAAGCCAGACGCTGGGCCGTCCCTAACGGATACCATGGAGCCACGGAGGGTTGCGGAGCCATGATCAACTCTGTCAGGTACTAAGGCCCGATTCAGTCCTTAGTTATTTAGGGTTATCTTAGCTTTTAAACTTGAAGATGAATTAGACAGTGGCGCTTACAGGCTGTTGTATGATGTGCCATCACCACTTAGTCATCTGCGTTCCTGATGATCATACATTAAAAATGTAACATTGTAAATATTTTTAAAAGCTACACTATGGTCTTGATATATTTATATGAAGGTATTTGATCATAAATTTAATAAAAGATTATCTAAAAATCCAAATGGTGAAAATTGCTGCGAGCTTTACCCGTCCAGTTGGGTTTTCAGTTTATAAGCAGCAGTGAGCGATTCGAAGGGTTTTGCCAATCTCAATTTAAAGTAATCAGGAATCAGCATGTATTGCTATAAGCACAGCACACAGTACGACAATGGACGAGAAGATAACAGTGCAGGAAGAATAAAATACATTTTAATGCTATGGGTTAGTAATATAAGGCTATGGGTCAGTTAAACAAAAATATAAATGGTCCTTGTAGAAGGTACAAACAGCCTTCCATATAGAACAAGCACGTCCTTGAACTGTAATACCATAAAGGTGCAACATTTTGGACACAATCTCATGCAGCAAATCTATCCAATTCAATACAATGACAAAATGTGTCCAATCTTCGGACTGGTACTGTATGTGAAACCCAGTCGTATGGATGCTCAGATCATTGATGACACATTTCAGTGTGTGTTCAGGAATCAGGAATCAGGTTGCATTCAGTTGCATTCCAATCAGTTGCATTCCAATCAGTTGCATTCCACCCAGGCAGCGGGGGCTTTGTGTGTGTACCATCGCTGCTGCCCTGAAGATCAGTGTAATGTGCTGTGACCTTGGCTTAACCAGTAGGTGGCGTGAGCATGGGGAAACCCATCTGTGAGTGGGGGTAGGGTGGTACGGTGGGGGGTCTAGTGGTTCAAAAGGAAGTCATCCGTCCATACGTGTAAACTCTGTTGGCAGGCAAATCCTTACCAACCAACATGAAATGTTCTTTGGTAAAAGGAGAGGAATGAAAACACTGGCGGCTCCCGGTTGGATAACTTTGTGTACTTCAGCGTGAACCTTACATCTGCACAACCTTCTCAAACGGCGACAAGCAAACAGAAATGCAATATTCAAAATAATTCAGGCAGAGCTTTTGCATTTTTATGAAGTCGGTGGGATTGTTGAAGCAGAATTGCTGTATTTGAAAGGAAGCAGCTCCTTCCCCCGTTGGCAGTGACTGAGAGGCAGTGAGTTCACGACGCAGACTTGGACATCGCGGCCGAGGTTTTTGGTTTTCCCCGACCATTCTGCCTGAAGCGGACTCGCACAGTAGGGAGAGATAACCTCAGAGCTGCCAAATTACAGGAGATCTGTGCACGGCTGTCAGTGTAAAGGATCACATTGATGAACCGAGCAGCGGGGAGGCATCATTCTCTTCGTCTCAAATAGCCTAGTTGATATTTATGACAATGCTCAGATTTTGTACTCTGTCCATCATTTGCATGGACTCGGGGATTGTGGGGGACTCACAGTAAAGCTCACAGTACTCTTTTACATTTAATTGCCTTAATAGCACTAAAGAGGGTTGAGAGAGACGGGGCAGGGTCACTGACGGGGGGGGATGGAAACAGGAACCATATGGGAAATAGCTGTGTAACCTGAACTTATGGACTGGTAGGCTTCCATGTGTTGAATGCCCGTGGCTTGTTCTCCAGCTCTCTCCCCCCAGTTTCATTTACAAACCTACCGGAATGCCGACTAGATCCACTCAGACCTCCGACATGATCAGCCTAGATTTGTTCACAGACTCCCGTTGCTTTCGCAGCTCACTGTGAGTTAGAGGATGAACTGAGGATTTAAGATGTCGGCTCTCCTTTTCTTACTCTCTCTCTCTCTCTCTCTCTCTCTCTCTCTCTCTCTCTCTCTCTCTCTCTCTCTCTCTGTGTACAGATGTTGTCCTTTAAGCACGTTCTTGCTTCCTGACCACCAGCGCCAAACTGAATGAGCTATTGTTTATGTCATGACATCATCGTCTTCAGCTTTCCTCTGCCCAGCAGGGTCTTGATATGTGTGTGTGTGTTTGTGTGTGTGTGTGTGTGTGTGTGTGTGTGAGTGAGATTTTTGCTCCGAGCTAGCCAGCTTGCCAGACATTTGAGCACTTAAATCTTGAGTGGATACATCTGCTAGTCCATCTTAAAGGGGATATTTTTAAGATTTAAAGATACTCAGTGACTAATTTATCATATCACATCACTAGGAGTTGTTGACGTTCATTCAGAGGATTGGCCCCTCAATGCAAGTCAATGGAGGTGAACGCCATTACTGTGAGAGTTGAAGTACAGTCGGAGTTTGTTCTAATATTCTCTAGAGTGAGAAAACGCAATTTTAAAATAATTGCTTTTCAGCTCAATTCAATTGGAGTAGCCTGAAGTAGTATACTGCTAAAAATGCTAATATTGGAAAATGGACTCTGGAGAACACACATCTCACAGAGAATAGGCACACAGGCTTATCGTTTTAAAATTCACATCTCAAAAGCTTTTTATAATTCACAATGTCTCAAAAAACGGGTGCGCATCAAGACGAAACAATTATTTACACAAGCTATGAAGGCTGCTGTTATCTCATCCATTTCTTCTCTCCCTCACTCTGTCACTCCATCTCTTTGTTAGCTGCTCTCTTTATTCATTTTTCCACTCTATCCGTCCTATCTCACTTCATCTCGTCTGCCATCCTCCTCCTCTCTTCTGTGCACCACATCCTCTTCCATTTCCCCCACAGTGCTCTCCTTATCTTTTGTTCATTTCCACCTCCATTCTGCCCCGTGGGTTGCCACGGAATTGGCGCTGTTACACATTTTGGCACTCCGGGCGTCATGGACAACTAGTCTTTTTTACTGCAGGGCAGAGCAGCTGCAAAGCAATGGCTAAAGTCAGCCATTCTGCCAGTGAACTTGGCAGAAATTGAGTTGTTTTATGGGCCCGTTGGTCCACTTCTCAAGATCTGATTTGCAAGTTGATAGAACTGCTCAAATAGTATTTTCCATTCCCGGCTAGGCATGAGAAAACAACACCAAGAGTCAACAGCCAGGTCATATGCTAACATTAGCATGCTGTTAGCAGTTTTTTCAAGCTTAGGCTAGTATGCTAGCATGCTAACACATGATTACCAAAAGCAGCTGAGGCCGGACGGTGTGCGTTTTGCCGGTATTTCATCAATAACTAAAGCATGTGACAACTTTATTGGCAAACTCCTTGCGGTTTGTCGTCTTGAGATCAATTATTTATTAGTTGCTGATTTGTTTTCAGTCTGCGTTTCAAACAGACGTTACTAGCTCGGCTGAAGATTTACAAATTTTTACTGGATTCAAATATAAATATGAGTCAATGAACAAAAGAGCTCTGAACATGTCGACCCAGCACGAGCGTTTGGTGCGTAAACTTCCTTAGTGAGTAATACATCAGTTTTACGCGTATCTAAGCTGCCTTTCATGAATGCAACTGATATACTCATTGTCTTACTTTTTCTCATTCCTTAAAGGGATCTTTTCATGTGGTGCATCGGTGCAAAGAAACACCACTGGGTCATTGAGTTTCATTGAGTGAAAATATTCAAATTGATTCAGAAGGCCTTCAAGCCTCGCGTCCATGTTTTTGACAGCCTGAGCGCACACAGACTCTGTCCAAAATTCTGGCTTCGCCTTCCATAACAAACAGCGCTTTGATGACGCCCCGGGCAGAGACAAGCAACTCAATCTCACCTCAACCCAAACTCTCCCCCGTACATCCTCTCCCGGCTCGATGCTGATTACTCTGACATCAGTGGATGAAGATGTAGAGTCGGCAGCTTGCCGAGGGGATGTAGGAAACATTCACAACCATTGCAGATGTTGTAGACGAGCCATCCAGCACACGGAAACGAGGAGTGAAGGGTGTTCTTTCAAGCAGCCTGCGATGACGTTGTGCCCGGGTCATAGTCTGCCACCAGGTTCTTCTTGAAATTGCACTGTCAATCACATGTGGTCATTTGATTAGTTAGTCAATCAATGGGTTACTTTCCCAGTGTCCCTCTGTGCCCTCCTTGGGGTCCATCATTGAGGTTTAAGCTTGGCCTTAGTACTCTATCTCTCTCTCTGCGTGTCTGTCCAGCATCTTACGCCTTCCTGTCCAGAGCCAGATAGAAATAAACGGCGGAGGCAACGAGTTGAATGCTGCTTTTGTGATAATGCAACACGTAGTGGAGCCTTCACACACACACAGTGAGAGGCTTCAGAGACGGGTATATGGGTATGCCACTAGAGGCCATTATGCACAGTCACGTCACGGCACACACCGATATTCAAAAGGGCGTACAACAAGGCTTTCTGTTCACTCATGCACACTTTTTCAGACACGGGCGCAGCATCTCCATCAGAGCATTAGCATCCATATATGTGTGCGTGTCTGTTCTGGAAACGTGCTGCTGAGTGTAGGTTCATCCCCTTGCTTTGCGAGCCCACTAGATCTAAGCCCGAGCAGGGCAGATAAAAGCCAGGCGCAGTTGTTTCCATATAAGAGACGCTAGAACTAATCTCCTTCATGCACAACACGGAGTGCAGAGACGCACACGCAGGAAAATGAAAGACACGCGGGCCGAGCTGCACGCATGCGCAAACAGAAGTGTTCATAATGCTCGTGCATGCTCAAGCTCACTCAGAGCTTTCATTTATTTCGCACTCTGAATCTTTCTCACTTGCACACACACACACACACCCACACACATACTTCTTTCAGGATGTCATTTTGGCAATAAAACCCTTGGCGTGGTTCTATAGTGCTGCTGAAACATCCTGCAGATTATCCTTTCCTGGCTCTCAGTCAGGCAGTGATATGGACACACACACACACACACACACACACGGTCAGACACACAGACTTAAGTGTATGTGTACACACTTTTGCAACACAAGCAGTAATACATACAAATTCTGTCTTTTCATCACAGACACACACACTGACTGAA